CTATGTGCTGGGGGGTAGCCTTGCTGGACCATAGGATATACGTTTATTCAGTTTTAATAGAAATACCCAACTCTTTTCTAAAAATTTCCACACTCATTTACATTCCCAAGATTCGTGAATGGGAATTCCTGCTACTCCATAGTCTTGTTGCACTAGATAATGTGCATTCAAATTTTAGCCTCTGGTGAATTCAGTGCCATGACTTCATTTCCCTGATAAATAGTGAACTCAGAATTTTGCATGTAGTTAGTGGTCCTTGGGCATCTTTTTGGATATGCTGTTAGCCTTTTGCCCATATTTCCTAACAGATTGTCTGTCTTTGTTTATTGATTTGTAGTAGCTCTTTATATGTTCTACATACAAACCCTTTGTCAGTTATGTGCATTGGAAATTTCCTCAGCCTTCTCCCTTGGTTATTGGCTCTCTTCATAAGTACTTTTCTTAAGAGATTTTAATTGGTATTTCAATGTGGTTAGAAGTTCAAATCTTTTCCTTTGGGGTGTATGCCCCTTGTTTCTTCACCTTGAAACATGAAGATAGTTTCCAATATTGTCTTTTAAAGCTTATTGTATTTCCTTTCACATTTAGGCTATGGTCTGTCTGGCAATGTGCGTTCTTGTTGTTGGTTTTTTTTTTTTTGCCTTTTTAAAAATCAGTTTTATTGAAGTATAATTTAATTATAATAAGATGAATTAATTTTAAGTGTCCAGTACAATGAATATTAAAAAATGTGTACAGTTTTGTGATCATAACCATAATCATGACACAAAACATCTCCCTCATTCAAAAACTTTCTTTGTGCCCTTTTGCAGTCGGTCTCCTCTTTGGCAGTGGTTTTTAAAGTGTGTCTCTGTGTATGCCTGCATCTGTGGGGGGTGTGCGTGTCTGTGTGTGTCTGTGTCTTGTGTAGGTGACTGTGTCTGTGAGCGTGTGCCTCTGTGTGTATCAGGGTGTGTATGTCGCTGTGTGAGGTCAAGCTGTTCCTTGCAGCATGGACACTCAGTTCCCAGAACTGAGGACTCCCCTCTGCTCTGCTGGGCCACTGTTGCTCCACGTGCACTCTCCCTTACTCCCACGGACCTCTTTCCACCTCTCATTCTGTTCCACTTCTCCATGTGCCTGTCCCTTCTCAGGAGCACCCTATCTTAATTAGAGCAGCTCCGTAATTAGTACAAATCCAGTAAAACCAGTTTTGCCACCTCCTCCTCCAGCCTGGTTCTTGGCCATTCTTGGCCCTTGGAATTTCTAAATAGATTTTCCAATCAGCTTGTCAAGTTTCACTGACAGGACAGGGATTCTTATGGTACTGGGTTCAAACTGAAGATTAACTTGTAGGGAATTAATGTATTTTAAGTCTTCTGCAAATGCTTGAAAATGGCATTTCCATTTTTTAGGTATTCTTTAATTGATTTCAAATAGTCATTTCTTTTTCTTTTTTTTTTTTTTTTTGGAAAGAAGTGCTACACATATTTCCTTAGATCTGTAACTGAGCACTAGATGTGGTAGGCTACTCCAACGGGTGCATTTTTTCAAAATTTACATTTGTTGTGGGTTGCTAATAAAATTTAAATTCATTATTTTTCTTTCTTTTTTTTTTTTGGATATTGAACTTGCTACTCTGGTTCACTTAATTCCTTCTGAGCAGCATATCATCATAGTATCTGTCAATAGCAACAATTTTATTTCTTCCTCCCCAACCCTTATACCTTTGGTATTTTGTGTGTGTGTGTGTGTGTGTATGCCTTTTCTTAACTTCCTCCCCTGCCTAGGTCCTCAAAAATGCTGTCAAATGGCACAGTGATCTTATTTTAATATCCGACTCTGAAGAGTACCGTTAAAGTTCCCTTGAGTTCCTAAACTTGTTAATAAGTCTTATCATGAATCAATGTTGAATTTCTTCAAGTGTTTTCTTGGCATATATTAAAATGGTGTGATTTTTTTCTTTTATCACTAACAACATTGAGAAATTTTCAATACTTAATGAATTCTTGTGTTTTTTTAAGTAAACTGAAATTGGTTTTGTTGGGTATAGTCATACTTGATTTAGAATATTTGCCTCTATGTTGATCAAGGAGATTTGGCTATCATTCTTTGTACATTTTTATACTGATCTTGTTAGACACAGTTTTTATGACAATGTTGACTTCAAAACATGAATTGCAAGCATTCTCTCTTTTTCTGATCTGGTAAACAGTCTGTCATTTGGACAATCCTGTTGCTTCAAAGAATTTGCTGATTTTGGAGGGAGATGGGTTACTGAAGATTGAACCCAGGGGTGCTTTACCCCTGAGCTACATTCCCAGCCCTTATTACTTATTTTTAATTTTGAGACAGTTTCATTAAGTGGCTTAAGGCCTCACTAAGGCTTAAGCAGCTTAAGCAGAGGCTGGCCTCTAACTTGCAATCCGCCTACCTCACCCTGCCAAGTCTCTTGGGATTATAGGTGTGCACCACTCTACGCAGAAAATGTGCTGATAGCTATGACTTGAATATGAGATGTCGCCCATCCTGTGTTAATGCAGTTATGTTCAGAGGTGAAATGATTGGATTGTGAGAGCTACAACCTAATCAGTCCATCCAGGTTTGAATGGCCCAGGTGGGGCCTGGCTGGAGGAGGCAGGTTATGGGCGGGGGGGTGGGGGGTGGGGGGGGCATGCTCTGGAAGGGTGTGTCTTCCGTGGGGCTCCTCCCCTCTTCCTGCTTCCCAGCTGCTACTGATGGAGCAGACCTCCTCCACCACACCTTCCACCATGATGGACTAAACTTCTGGAACTGTGAGCCAAACAAGCCCTTTCCTTTTAAGTAGTTCTTATTCACTATCATGGACACAGTGACAAAAATGTGACTAACACACAGATGAAGATAACATGACTAGGATTTTAGTCATGGACTCAACATCTTTAAAATCATGAGACTATCTTGTGTTTATTTAGTAAATTGTATTTTTCTAAGTGTTGTCTTATTTCAAATAAGTTTCCAAGTTTATGGCTATAAATTCATAATAGTCGTTTTTTAAGTGTGTGCAGTATGTGATGTCCCAACTTCCATTGTTGTCTTACCCCGAATATTGACCTAGGAAGTCCTTAGTTCTCTTACACCAGCAGGAGCATGTGCCGTGGCCTGTGTACATGCATCCTGGGTGCCTCAACTGTCCTTCGGCTCTTATTGGAAGCCAAAGGCCTTCAGAAGCACTTCAATGCTCCAAACCCCTGGTCCCAGTCAAGCATGGTATTTTCTCTAGGAAAGCATGGCATCTGCCGGGGATACCACTTGTAACAGTAAGATCCGGCACAGGGAGTGTCAAGAGTAGAGCTCGTCAGTCCAGGTGCAGGATGAGAAGTGCCTGAATGTTCATGAAGGTTCTAGGAGAACCTGCATGTTCTAGAAGAAACTCCTCCAAGTGCGGCCTCTAAACCAGCAGCTTCAGGATCACCTGGCAGCTCGCTGGAAATGCAAGTTCGCAGTCCCAATCCAGAGCCTTGGATTCAGAAATGGGACAGAGGGCAGGGGATGTTATGCTTAACAAACCTTCCAGGAGATTTGCATCCACAATAAAACTAGGAATCCAGTGACCCAGCTGTTCTCAATTCTGGTCCGAACATTAGATTCAACTGAGTTTTATATTGATGCAAATATATGCAGCCTATCCCAGAACACATTTTTAAGAGGCTCTCGGCTGATTCTGATGACTCCCAGTCTCCCAGGGGCTGCCATGCTACAGAGCACAGCTCCCGGGGAACAGAACAGAGGAACAAAGCCACTTCACTCCTAGTGGCCAAGACACACCCCAGCTGCTCTGTTCTCATTCCAGTCCTTGAATTTAGGAAGTCCCTGATGCTGATGAGCACAGGCAGATGAGAATGCCCTGGAGGGCCTGACGCTGGGCAATGGTGAAGGGCTGAAGATGGGCGGCCTTCAGAAGCCGTGGTTCGACTTGGCTGCAAAGGCAGGAGAACAGCCCTGGAGGGCAGGTCCTGGAGGGCAGTTTCCTTCAGGTTGAAACCCGCTTCCCAGAGGGGGCCACGGGCCTCTGGAGCACACTGTCTCCTAGGGTGCCAGGGCCTAGGGCACGGGTCTGCTGGGCTGCCCTCACAGAGCCCACACACTAGGCCCTTCAGCAACTGAAAGGCGTCAGCTGGCACTTCTGGGGGCGGGTGGTCTAGACCCAGGTGGCAGCAGGTGGGGCTCAGAGATGGCACCTCCGCCTGTCCTCACCTGCTTTCCTCCGTGTGTGTCTCTGCTGGACCTCTTTGATGGCCATGCCTCTCATACAGGATCCTGGCCCATCCTGTGGACCTCGTTTAACCTTGATCACCTTTGGGGAGTCCCTAAGTCCATATCCAGTCACTTTCTGAGCTTTCAGAAGTCAGGCAACAACATGAGAATTTTGAGGTGACAAGAGTTGTCCTGTATCACCCACTAAAGGAGGCTGGCCAAACACTGGCCCAAGGTAGTGTCGGAGGGTAGCCCTGAGTGACGTCCTTCTCTATTGGAAACACAGGGGTCTAGGTCAGGGTTCCTTCTAGTTAGGAGATTCCAAGATACCAGCTGTAGGGCACAATAAACTCCATCTGGGGAAACCTATTAAATCTTTACAGAGTACACATCAACTCAGTCTGACAGTAAAGGATGCTCATTTTCCACAGAAATGGTCTTTGAAAAGAGGAGAATGGGGACTTAAGTCAAAGTAATCAGTGTAACTGAAGTCAGAGGGATGTTTTCATAAGGTGACAATGACGTTAGCATTGACAGTAGAGGATTGAGTTTGTGGTCAGTGAAGTGGACCATAGCACTCAATTTGAGGAATAACTTGCATTCCCTATGCCCCTCTGCTAGGTTCATCTTTGATGGGTTACTCCCCACCTGTCTAGTTTCACGAATAGTCCCAAAGATCCATTATGTGCAATCTTCAATCATGTGCTTTTGCAGAGTGACCTGTCCTGCCTTCATCAAATATTCTATAGTCTAAGAGTCTAAGTGTGTCTGTTCCCTCTTTTCAGGTGCTGGTCTCCTCACAGGTCTCGGCCACAGATCAGATCACTACATGTGCGTCAGGAATGGAGGATTCTGTCTCTATTCGTCCTGCCCCGTGGATACCAAAATTACTGGCACCTGTTACCACGGACGCGCAAAATGCTGTAGCTGAACTGAGAGTGACTTGGAGAAAGATCATAGAAGCCAGAAGAATTATTTCTGATCATTGTTTCAATAAAGAAATTTTTTTTCCTTGACCACATCTTCATCAGACCAAAATAAATCTTATTGCTCAATGGAAGAATTTAAGAAAATGTGGGGTTAGGCTGACAGCCTGGGAACGAGAGACATGCCAGTCCAGAAGGAACACCTCTTCAGAGGAATAAAGTCCAGGGCTAGACAATGTCACTTTCCGCTGACCATACTGCCATACAGTGAGGGATGCAGAGGGCCCAGGAGAGGTCAGCAGTACACGTGGCGAGGAGAGGCAGCTCCAGGCCTCCTGGGGCCAGGAGAGGCTGACCTCGAATTCCAGTGTTCTGGTCAACAGTGGAGTAAGAGGCCCATCTCCAGAGCCCAGGCTGCAGCCTCTGCTCCCCACACTGCTGGCAGCGGGGTGATGAACCCCAGCAATGCAGCCCTCCTTTGTGACCACGAAAACAGTCCCAGAGTTTCATCCTCAGGCCTCGTATCTGTGTCCTAAGGACTCACACATCTGCATTTCAGGCAAGCCTTGCCCCTAGGCCTTTAGACACCAACAGGGAAGGAGAGCAGTGCCCCTTCCTTTCTCCACAAACTTCTTAATGCTCTGAATGATTCACGTTATGCTGTCATCTCCTTAATCTATCACAAATTCTTCACCCTCCACTTGATCAATTTCAGGAACAATGAAAATCACCCCTGATAAAATTATTTGCTTCCCCCTTCCCAGCAATAATCTTCTGTGCATCACCCCTCTTCCACAAGAGAGCCTCACAGAGCAACATGCTGGCTTCTGGGGACGACAAGGACTAGGCTTGGGAGTTCTCGGTGACAAACATAAGATGTGTTAATGACACACTCAACTTGAAGCCCAGAAACAATCCAGAAACATTGTACTTTCACCTCAGATCTCACGTGGCAGAAGTAAGCACCACAACAATTAGGCCACTTCCCCTGGGACTTGTGGTGGCCTTCAGTGCCTGATCAGGCCTACCACATCCACACTGCTGCCATTGCAGGTGGACAGCCCTTGGCAGTCCAACCTCATGGCCCAGTGGGTCAGGTAACAGCCAGTTCATGAGGGACAGTTAAGGACACATGGGAACATGGTGGGCCATGGTCCAGGGAGAAAGATGAGCAGTGTAATTTTCAGTAGTGTCCTGGGGTCCTTCCTCAGGCAGATCTGACCTCCCCTTCACTCTAAAGCATTCTCGATCTCAAATGTGGCTTAAGTCAGGTAATTGATGGAAGGACCTCAGCCTTCTGTCTAATTGATTCAACTTGGACTTTTCATATGACTTAGAAATTTTCTACTTATTCAAGTGTCAACATAAACAAAATGAGACAGAGAGAGAGAGAGTCCCCCAAAAACACTACAATGGCAAGGTGCATGCCAGAGCACACTGTGGGCATATTCAAGGTGGTGGAGGCCAGGGAATGTTTATTAAGACAAATGTAAGAGGATTACACCAGATATTGGAAGCAATAACGCTTGTTAACAATGATTTATAACAAGTGTGGCATCCATCCAAGGCTGAGCAGACAGCACCTGGGCAGATGTCCTGGTAGAAATGCCTTTTGTGTCACGTTGTGGTGGTCTCTGCGCCTCTTCTGGTTTTAGCAAAGACTTTAACAGATGCAACCTAGAAAAGCTTTAGAAAGTTGTCAGCAAAGCTGAATGGGCAATTCTAGTCGGAGCTCAAAGGACTAGAATGTCAGTAGGACAATGGACAGTAAAGACTGGGATCATAAGGTTTTAGAAGATAAGGAGGACTCTATTGGAAATTGGACCAGAGGCCATTCATGCTATATTCTGGGGGGAAAAAATCTACATTTTTCTCATATCCTGACACTTTCTGTGAGACAAAATTTAAAGGCAATGGACTAACGAATCTGCCAGAGGAAATTTTGAATCAGCACAGCATTTAGGCAGTGGCATGTACGTAGTTAGTTGCTTTTAATCAACTGTATTATGATAATCAGGAACAGAAAGCAGAGCAGAAAGATTTTTAAAAACTTGCAGTTTGGCCATAAAAATGAAAGTAAAACTGGGGCTAAGGAAGTTGTGATTGCTAAAAGACTTACAGCCACTAAGAAAATGCTAAATACTTTACCTAGGAACAACAGGAAAAAGTGGCTTGAGGATATCTCAGGAATTGGCAAGACCACAGCCATGCTTGCATGCCAGGGAGAGAAAGCTGAGCACTAGGAAGTTCATTCCTTAAAAAAAGAAAAAACCAACAAATAAATGATCTCATACTTCATCTCAAAATCCTAGAAAAAGAAGAGCAAAACAACAGCAAAAGAAGTAGAAGGCAAGAAATAATTAAAATCAGAGCTGAAATTAATGAAATTGAAAAAAAGAAACAATTGACAAAACTAAAAGTTGGTTCTTTGAAAAAATAAATAAAATCAACAGACCCTTAGCCATGCTAACGAAGAGAGAGAACTCAAATTACTAGCATACGGGATGAAAAAGGAAATATCACAACAGACACTTCAGAAATACAGAAGATAATCAGAAATTATTTTGAATCCTTATACTCCAATAAATTAGAAGATAGTGAAGGCATCGATAAATTTCTTAAGTCATATGATCTGCCCAGATTGAGTCAGGAGGATACAGACAACCTAAACAGACCAATATCAATTGAGGAAATAGAAGAAACCATCAAAAGACTACCAACTAAGAAAAGCCCAGGACCGGATGGGTATACAGCAGAGTTTTACAAAACCTTTAAAGAGGAACTAATACCAATACTTTTCAAGCTTTTTCAGGAAATAGAAAAAGAGGGAGAACTTCCAAATTCATTCTACGAGGCCAACATCACCCTGATTCCTAAACCAGACAAAGACACTTCAAAGAAAGAAAACTACAGACCAATATCTCTAATGAACCTAGATGCAAAAATCCTCAATACAATTCTGGCGAATCGAATACAAAAACATATCAAAAAAATTGTGCACCATGATCAAGTAGGATTCATCCCTGGGATGCAAGGCTGGTTCAATATACGGAAATCAATAAATGTTATTCACCACATCAATAGACTTAAAAATAAGAACCATATGATCATCTCGATAGATGCAGAAAAAGCATTTGACAAAGTAGAGCATCCCTTTATGTTCAAAACTCTAGAAAAACTTGGGATAACAGGAACATACCTCAATATTGTAAAAGCAATCTATGCTAAGCCTCAGGCTAGCATCATTCTGAATGGAGAAAAATTGAAGGCATTCCCTCTAAAATCTGGAACAAGACAGGGATGCCCTCTCTCACCACTTCTGTTCAACATAGTTCTCGAAACACTGGCCAGAGCAATTAGACAGACAAAAGAAATTAAAGGCATCAAAATAGGAAAAGAAGAACTTAAATTATCACTATTTTCAGATGACATGATTCTATACCTAGCAGACCCAAAAGGGTCTACAAAGAAACTATTAGAGCTAATAAATGAATTCAGCAAAGTGGCAGGATATAAAATCGACACGCATAAATCAAAGGCATTCCTGTATATCAGCGACAAATCCTCTGAAATGGAAATGAGGACAACCACCCCATTCACAATATCCTCAAAAAAAAATAAAATACTTGGGAATCAACCTAACAAAAGAGGTGAAAGACTTATACAATGAAAACTACAGAACCCTAAAGAGAGAAATAGAAGAAGATCTTAGAAGATGGAAAAATATACCCTGTTCATGGATAGGCAGAACTAACATCATCAAAATGGTGATATTACCCAAAGTTCTCTATAGGTTTAATGCAATGCCAATCAAAATCCCAATGGCATTTCTTGTAGAAATAGATAAAGCAATTATGAAATTCATATGGAAAAATAAAAGACCCAGAATAGCAAAACCAACTCTAAGCAGGAAGTGTGAATCAGGTGGTATAGCGATACCAGACCTCAAACCATACTACAGAGCAATAGTAACAAAAACAGCATGGTACTGGTACCAAAACAGGCGGGTGGACCAATGGTACAGAATAGAGGACACAGAAACCAATCCACAAAACTACAACTATCTTATATTTGATAAAGGGGCTAAAAGCATGAAATGGAGGAAGGATAGCATCTTCAACAAATGGTGCTGGGAAAACTGGAAATCCATATGCAACAAAATGAAACTGAATCCCTTTCTCTCGCCATGCACAAAAGTTAACTCAAAATGGATCAAGGAGTTTGATATCAAATCAGAGACACGGCGTCTGATACAAGAAAAAGTTGGCTACGATCTACATACTGTGGGGTCGGGCTCCAAATTCCTCAATAGGACACCCATAGCACAAGAGGTAATAACTAGAATCAACAAATGGGACTTACTCAAACTAAAAAGTTTTTTCTCAGCAAAAGAAACACTAAGAGAGGTAAATAGGGAGCCTACACCCTGGGAACAAATCTTTACTCCTCACACTTCAGATAGAGACCTAATATCCAGAGTATACAAAGAACTCAAAAAATTAGACAATAAGAAAACGAATAACCCAATCAACAAATGGGCCAAGGACCTGAACAGACACTTCTCAGAGGAGGACATACAATCAATCAATAAGTACATGAAAAAATGCTCACCATCTCTAGCAGTCAGAGAAATGCAAATTAAAACCACCCTAAGATACCATCTCACTCCAGTAAGATTGGCAGCCATTATGAAGTCAAACAACAACAAGTGCTGGCGAGGATGTGGGGAAAAGGGTACACTTGTACATTGCTGGTGGGACTGCAAATTGGTGCAGCCAATTTGGAAAGCAGTATGGAGATTTCTTGGAAAGCTGGGAATGGAACCACCATTTGACCCAGCTATTCCCCTTCTCGGTCTATTCCCTAAAGACCTAAAAAGAGCATGCTACAGGGACACTGCTACATCGATGTTCATAGCAGCACAATTCACAATAGCAAGACTGTGGAACCAACCTAGATGCCCTTCAATAGACGAATGGATAAAAAAAAATGTGGCATTTATACACAATGGAGTATTACTCTGCATTAAAAAATGACAAAATCATAGAATTTGCAGGGAAATGGATGGCATTAGAACAGATTATACTAAG